CCCAACTCGATCGCCTGAAACTGAAAACAAATAAGTTTGTTTTTGAGGCGACTGAGTTGGGCGATCGGCTGATCCCATCCATAGTGGGCACCCTGTATTAGGTAGTGTAAACACGGTCTCGAGGCCTTCCGAGCGACATGAAGCTATTGAGAGCATCTAGCACACCTCTGTGATTGGGCCAAAATAGATCATACATGATGTTTTTCCGCCATTTATTTTTGTCGTCTTCCGGGGTTTCCCTCGCGAGTTGACCAGATCCCCTACATCTATCACCCTTAATTATTTATTATTATTCATCAGAATGCCGTTGACAAAGTTACTAACAATAAAAATGCAGCATCGTGATGTTATTAAAGATTGTCTAACTACTACCAAGATGTTTCAATAGCCCTATCTCGCGTCCGAACGAGACTTGGGCGCTAGATCTACCTTGTCTTAGTGTGTGACGGCCCGCGATACGAGTGTAAACAAACGTTTAAGCGCTGAGTTGAAAGCGAGAAATTTTGTCTGCGGGCAGAGAGAGAGAGGAGGACGGAGGGGGGGGAGGGGGTGTGGAGAGAAAGAAAGAGAGAGAGAGAGAGAGAGAGAGAGAATGAGAGTGTGTGTGTGAGAGAGAGAGAGAGAGAGAGAGAGAGAGAGAGAGAGAGAATAGTACTCCCGTCGAGGTCAAACTATTTGCCTCTCTCAGTTCCCTCGTCGCCCATATAGAAATTATTAGTTTTATTTATTCATAGTAGCGGCATCTGTCTGTCACTGTGAGGCGGGTCGAGGTATTAACGTGTGTTCCCCTGTGGCGTGTACATCTTGATCTATGTACTGGGGCGCCGGTGGTCTAGTGGTTAGGCTCTCCGACTCGCAACTGTAAGGTCATGGGTTCGAATCGTGTGAGGGACCCGACGTTTTGGCCTTGGGAAAGGAACTTTACGCACATTTTCCTCACTTCACCCAGGTGGGAATGGGTACCTAGCTATAGACAATGAAAGGTCTTGTCAGTCTGTTTGTGTTTGAGCGCTTAATCAGCTGCTTGCTCTGTAAGCTTCTCGGGAAGCTGAGAATGTTTCTGAGTGTTCTATGGTCTGCTGTTGTAATAGTAAGCGTAAAGTGCATAGAGCTTGCTGTAGAGTGGGGTTATGCGCTCTACAAATACTATTCATTATAATTTATTATTATTGTTGTCATGAGCAGATGGGTCGAAGAGGTCGGCCGGGGAAAGAAGGTTGTGTGAAATAGTGTGACCTTTATGGGATGAGAGGGGAAGAGAGGAAAGGAGAGGAGAGGAGAGGATGGGGTAGACGAGGAGGTGAGGGTGGGGAGGGTAAGGGAGATGAGAGGAGAGGAGAATAGGGAAGAGGAGAGAAGAGGAGAGGAGGAAAATGAAATAAAAAGAGATAAGATGCGATGAGATGAAAAGAGATGTAAGTTGAAAAGAGTGAAGATGAGAGGAGGTTAGAGGAAAGGAGAGGTGATGCGAGGAGAGGAGAGGAGAGATAAGATAAGATAAGATTAGATAAGATAGAATAAGATAAGATAAGATGACTGTCCTCGCCAATACTTTTTGTAAAATAAAAAATTTTAAATCTCACTAAATCTGTAGAGACCCAGACACTTGATCCGACATACGGATTGGAACATCTACATGTTGCTCTCACTGGTAAAGTTGAAAGAAATAAGGCCGAGAATATATATAGCATCTTTTTTTGGAAAGCCTCAACATAATATAAACCATATTATATTATCCTTGTCTTTCCTGGTCAGGCATATTATGCCTGACTAGGAAAGACAAGATATTATGCCTGACTAGGAAAGACAAGATATTATGCCTGACTAGGAAAGACAAGGATGATATAATATTGTTTATTTTAAAGAATACAAACAGAGAAATGAAAGGCGAACCACAATCTCTGGTGTCTCTCGCAGATCTGGCACTTGAGGAAAAAATATCCGTGAGCAAGTTAACGAGAACACGCGCAAATGTATCATACCTCTACACGACAGTCAGGTTATCAAATTTCTTTCTTCAAGATGCCCGTATTAAGTGATCTGAAAGCTTTCTATTTCAAAATTTCAACATCTAACAACCCCCCC